TCTTCTGAATTATATGTACGTTTATTGTTTATAAATCCCACTTATCACTCCCAAAAGCCAGAAACTCTAAGTCCAAACCTGAAATTGAAATGAACTCTTCGTACGCTAGTCCAGTAACTTGCCTATTCATTTATACCAAGGAGTCAATAGCTGTCCGCACGAAGCAGCTTCACACAACTGGCAATACTTAGTGAACCTGCGAAACCTGATTTGTAGTCCTATGTATATATCAAAGTCAACAACTTAGCTGTAGTAAGTTATTTTCGAGTTTTGTTCAGCAGCACAGTGTATCAGAGTGATGTCAGTAAAAACGGATCTATCTTTCAAAATACAAAGTGCTATAATATAAGATGTAACGCCCATATAAAGTGATGAAGTAAATGCACACTAATGAAATAATGCTTTATTATTCGACTAGCTCATATCTATATAGCCCAGGCTGTTACAATTCCTGTACAAGTAGTACAATACCTAAAAATGTACCGGCATATGATATTCGCTTCACCTATTGATCAATAAGAATATGTAAGAAAGCGTCGAGGAGGACCGGTTCTGGAACACCACATACATTTAATGGCGCAGACACGAAGTAATAATGCTCCAATATACCTCCACAATATTTATGTAAGTAACTTTCAGGACCCGTAAGAGCGTTTAGAATTAATTACTCCAAGTTCATCTATAAGACACCTTTACTGTACGGGGCAAGGATCCAATGGTTAATTTGAACATCATATTTCAAATAAAGCTCATTACTGACAGTTCAATAGGTGCTCAAAAAGCACTTTTTGACGGTCAGTGTAAGATTTAGGATCATAGGTATCAGGATTACTCAATTTTTTCTGTCGAAGAAACCCATACAGAAGAGTTACATGGGATTCATGCATAGTCTGCAGCGTACCTCAGACCACTTTGCACTTCAAAGAACTGAAGGCGAGTTCTTTTGCAGGCGCCCAAATTTAAATTCCAGTTAAATCCTAGTCAGAAATTTCGCCCGAATTTTGACATCATCTGTGAAAGGCAATCACTCACATTATACTTGTGAAGGATGTTCGTTGTAATAAACTAGGAATAGAAGAGAACTGATATTCAGCATATGGGAATCCCCACCCTGACATTCTTTAGCCCAAAGAAAAGTAAATTTCGATCTGACCCTAGAAGGTTAATTAACTAGGTATGAAGTAAGTCAGTTTATACAAGCTGGTTCGAAACCTTAGAGTTTGAATTTATTGATTTACTGATCACATAAAAAGCTTTTGAGAAGATACCAACATACGAGCATTATCAGCTTTCCTTAGTTTACGCAACTTATTCATTTTCTTCAGTAAACCAGCAGTGTTCGTAAATATACGGCTAATGCCTTTGATTTGAAACGCATGGGCATCTAGCCTATGTTTCTTTGAATAAGTTCCATGTAAAAAGAATGCAACCCAGCTACACAGGGCTTTTTGAGTACGTGATTCAAGTTCCCTCTAGTTTTATCTTGTCCTAGTCAGTCGACCACTGTCGTCTGTTAAACTCTTATGTGCCTAACCCATACTTCATGTAGCACATCGCTTTGCATGAGGATTTCGGCTGTTACAAAATAACTCGGAATTAGAAGTCTTCTGAATCTTGGGCATTTGTGTCGACCGTATTAATTTTGCCAGACACTGAAGAGGAAGGTGCTTGGTCATGCATGCTAACCAGAACACCAGTGAATCCGGCAAGCTACACATGTTGCATCAACTAGACAGTCTACATTGCACACTTATCGATGTACTAATTATCCACGAAATGTATCTTAAAGGTTCGTCAACCTCACTTATCAAGATGATATTGACAGAAGTGTTATCAGATAACGGATAATCGCAACAAATATGGAAGTTTAGATTCGATTTAAAAATTACTGAAGCCATATAAACACCCAAACATCCGTTCCTCCTTATTCTTTCTTAGTCAACTCCTGTTTTAGAAAGACATAGCACTGATGGGAAAAATTTAAAGAACAGCAGTTAAGTTAGTCCCCGGAATCTCAAAGCTTTCGTATGAAGAGGGACTGGTTATGTTAAACCTATTTCCTTTACAGAATATAACCCGTTGATTTAATCACGGGTTTTGAACTACTTAATGATGAATTTGAATCAGACATACAATAATTTTTCTCAGCTTCCAAAAACGGGAAAATTATGATGACACTCTAATTAAATTCACAAGCCCAAAATAAATTACTTGTCAGCTGATTACTGACGGGTCCATCAAATGGTCGGTGAATGGAACCTGTCACCCAGAAATGTTACTGAAGTTCCAGTTATCAACCGATTCACGAGATTTGGGCCAGCCTAGTGACAAAATTGCTAAGAATAACGCTAACCAATAGGGTTCCTATCCTTTCCAAGCAATAACTACATTGTACAAGCGGGTTAACTGATATAAACGTTACATTGTATATTGCTGCGTCTGTACATGAACAACTGTTGAGTTCTCTGTTCGAATCAGTTACTCATCAGGGCTTCCTCCTGACTTAAATTCTGATTTTTCCATTTTAAATCATTTCGCTGACCGTTTCTAACGATTTGTACGTTTGCTACATGCAAATATTTAAATATTGTTTTCTACACTTTGGTTGTTTACATCTAAATTATTGCATGACTTTTGAATACCTTGTGAAAAGTTGTCACTGTATCAACTATACAAGACGATCCTCGTTTTTTAAGCGAAATTCGGTATTACAAGCCATCGGATTCTTTGACGGTTTTCTATTTTCAACTTGATGTAACCGGTTCGGCTAACTGGCTTGTTGTGATAGAGCATTTAAATCTCTGCCGATTCCTCAAATAGTCTAGTCTTATGTTCGAGGCTGTGTTTTTATAGTACATTCAACCACTTAGAACTCTACAAACTCACAGCTGACTGAGTCACTGACAAACATTCTGGAAAGCTATGACTATATTTACTTAGTAAAAATTAACAACTACTAAATATTCAAGTAGTTTTGATGATTTTGGCATCTTGGGTATGCGGTGTCTTATTTTTGATCTACTTCCATTGTTTATGAACTATCTATGACTTACAATATGCTTCTTGCATTTGGTACAGGAATTTAAGTGATTCTAGTTAATTCTTGAACCAAACGTAAGTTTTAACCCACTGATTTGTACAGCACAGTCAAAGAATTCCTTGATAATGGCACCTACATCCTACCCTAATATATTGTCAGTCACTCGCAGCGTAGAACCTGGTATATGTGTACATCGGTTCAATTTGGAATTTCCCCGTAGTACAGAGGCCCAATTATTAGGTAGAATGTCGGGATAGTATAATTAATAAAAATATCAGTCATAATAAAAGATTAGGCATTGAAGTTGCGACTGGAAAAGAAAAATTGTGATAAAAATATAATGAGGACTTCAGAAGCTTAGAATTTGGAGAAAGACAAAGGATGTACCTGTGCTATTGCAAACGATTTTGGGCCATACCACCCTAAGCCTCTAGTTATTGGCTACGACAATCACGCAGATCTTAACCAAGTAGCCTACATTTATTAACATAGCTCATTCCAACTGTCAGTGGCTTTATACGCTGATGCCATGTTTTGGTTTGTTCGCCCTGTTATTATGTCAGATAACATCAACCACGTACCGATGCAAGCTGATCCTGATGGAACTGTTTGGATTTGAGAAGAGAGAATGTCATTCCGAAGATGCCTGTATTGGTACTTAAGGTTGTCAGAAGATTCCGCATTTTGTCAGAGTCTTTACAAGACAGAACTATATCATTTGTACATTCTAAGTCACCAAATGAATCTTCTGTTAGAGGGTAAACTGAAAAATCAGATGATTAGTATGTTATCGCCAAAAGCAGACAAAGCTAACGAACAAAATTCTAATGACAGTTCGCCGTAAACTCTGACTTGACCACTAGTGTTCAGATTGAGAGCCTGTACAAGGTTAATGTAATTCTTCGATACACCTTTCAATGCCAGACACCGCTACGGAATGTTATGACCATTAGAGTCAAACATTGCATAGGAGTCGAGGGATACAACTATTATCAGCAGTCGGAAAGTTTGTCTATGTCCCAGAAACTTCTGGAGTGTTGATGTTTCGTCTATGCATCTAAACGTCCAGGTCTAAAACCAGCCTATTATTTCTGAGTTTGCTCTTCCCAAGCGCTGGTTAGTCGTTGAAGTATTATTGAGGCTAGTCTTTTAGGTACTACACTAATTAAACTAATTCCTTTCTGCCTGTCGAAAGACGAGTTTTTTCTCTTCTCATAGACTTGAACGGTCAGCGATCCGGACCAGTCAGGTGGGATAATGACCAGTTTCCAGATTCTAGCTAATTTACTCTATTTATGATAGTCGAGTAATCATGGGATTGGAGAATCAAGTCGACGTTTATGTTATGGATTTTAAGTCCAATCTTTCCCAGATAAATAATAATTCGAAACTCCCTTAATATTAGCAAGTGATTTTGTAGTCAGTAATATGAAGGCTAAATTCAAGACCCTAATGAAGTTGGTTGCAATTTCAGTGTTTACAGTATTAATGAATTGTGTTAGTGATTTCAGAAGTAGCATCACAGAGAAGAATTTCAGTTCCTCCTAATTTGTGGACTTATTTTGGTTGATTCTCAATCTTGCTTGTGGGTAGTTACTTACTTTTTACATACTCTTTATTGGTTTATAAAGAAAGATGGAAAATTTGTCAATGAATCTCTGAATACGAATCAAAAATAAGAGAGTGATAGTGGTTTGCGTTAGATATATCTTTCAGAGTACTGAGCTAAAAGTCGTTGTAACTGCAAGGTTCACCTTTTCATTTGTTGTCACTCAGTCAGCTAAAACATAGAACTTCGTTCATACGTACATCAGTTCAAATGGCTAAGAATGTACATTGAGTTTCAAGACAATATATAGTTCTGTGGCTATATAAACATAGTATGAATAATGATCCTTTACACTTGAAATAATACTTTTTGTTTCATTATTTTTAACAGATTATGAATAGCTTGTAAGTAATGGCAGAAACTGAAACAAACACACCTGATCTGGATAATTTTGAAACCCTTTCCCTAGACGATCCGCCTGATTCAAATGAAATTCGTAAAACTTCTGTCTGCACAAATGAAGAACTTTATGGTGATCAGGATTTAAGTCAGAAAGAGTACTATCACATTCTTATCTTTGTATTTAGCTTTGTAGGAATGAAATCAAATCAGCTTTAGTACAGCAAACTAAAGATTTGTATGAACAATATGCTCGGGAACAGTTTCCTAAAGATCCAGAGAAAGTAATGCATCTTATTTTCAGTCTCATTATTATTTTTAGCAAAAGGCACTGATAACTGAAATGCAGGAACAATATTTAGAACATTATCTCTCCGAAGTTTACAGATTTCAGATCATTCATCAGCAACAACAACTTCAGCAAGTTAGTTGTCATTTAATTTATGTTGTGCTGATTTATTTGTATATGTGGTACACTGCGAGTAATGATAAAAGTTTTAAAGAGCGATCAGGTAGAAGTTAATGTTGTCGAGCTAACAAGTGGTTTTTGAACATGGAATCTAGGTAATGAAGTTTTGGGAAATGTCGAAATTTGACGACTAGTCCTTGAGTGCTTCATTGTAATATACATAGATATAACTCATTCTGCTAATCTTAGTTTACCTGCAGCTTTCTATCCACTTGATAGTCGTTATCTACAAAATTAAAAACCACCTGTACGTATTACCTGTCTTTTGTCCTATTCTTGAGGAAGTTCCTCATAGATTGCTCACGTATGGCCTTAAAACTTGCTTTTATAACTTGAAATTAAAATGGTTTTGTTTCATGACTTGCTTTTTATTACTTTTCAAAATTTTAAATTGGCCGGATTGTTAAATTTTCGTATTATGCTACTCGTTCGTATCTGAACCATCTTATTTATACGGAGTTCTTTTAGTTCATTAAATTACAAGTTGCTTCTAACGAATAACATAATCAATTCAAGTGCCAAAAACTTAACGATGTATGTTTCACTTCCTAGATCATGATACTCCTTTTTTGTCATAATCCTTAAAATCTCGATCAGCTATGACCAGAAACGATGCCTCCTCAACCAATTACTTATTGTATTGTAATATGTAGTTTACTAATACGTCAGCAACTGCAGCTAATCGTGTGTGTAGTACAGCTTTACATCCCGACCGTAGCTGTTACCTTGACATGGTGGTCGGGCTTGACTATCGTGATGACCCAACCGGGCTATATTGGATGGAACATATGTTCCTGTTGGTTCTATCATGCCAGGCAGGTCGATCGGATAACGATAAGGCTAAAAGCAGCTACTCAAGGTCTGAGGGCGAAGTCGTACTGCTGATTGCAGAAGGGTGTGACAGCAGTAAGGTGTTTCCCTCGGACAACCAGCATCTGCAGTGGTGCTGCCTTCTCACAAGGAAGGAAGGGTTAGGGAAGGTCGACCCTGAAACTTTCTTACCTCACCTTACCTCACGGACTACCGTCTCTGACAGTAAGGTCATTTGAATAGCGGAGCTAACATTTCCGAAACGTCCCATAAAAAGACCGTGGGAGACCAGCCTCGAGCGGTTGTCCCTTGGGCTATTTGGTCACGCTCTCAGGTCTCGAAGACTAACGTTCATCGGATTTCCTTTTCAGGTTCCTCAAGAAACAGAGTTTCACGGTATGCGCAGCCGGTAGTGACATCCACCCTCATACTCATAATAGCACACGAGACCGAATTGGTCACAATCCAATCCTTCCTACATTCCCTAACATCTCTCTTATCTCCACTACTTACCCTTCTCACATCCCTTTATCACCGTGTACTGCTAATGCAGACGCTTCAAACTCACGAAACATTATTTCTGGTCTCCTGAAACCTCGTTCCAAATTACACATTGGAGCTTTAATCGTTGGAATGTTGTGACAAATGGGGCACCAGGCTTCATTAGCTAGGACTCTGGAATCCGTTGCCATCAATGTGTGTTGCGTCTCCGAAACGTGCATACAGGACCCGAATAGATTCATTCATTTTACGTCACCTCGTCAAGATAAATAACTAACTGGGTTTACGTTTTGTGTATCTGTAGGCTCTGTTGTTGTTTCCCGTGGTCTCGCTGGTGTAGGTATAGCACTGAGTCCGAGAGCATAACTAGCTCTCCTAGACTGGATCCCATTAGACAGTCGCTTGTGCGCTGTCCGACTGAACGGGACAGTTAGTAGTCGGAAAGGTAAGGACACTCACCATTGCCTGTTTGTTATCTCTGCCTACTATCCCAGTGACTGCAGTTCAGACAAGGTGGAAGATGAGTTTTACAAAAGCTTTCGGAACTCCTCCAAGTAGTTAGGCGCTCTGATATAGTAATAATGGCTGGTGACTTTAATGCTCAAGTAGGTAGACTGAGTGAAGAGGGAAGGCACCTAGATGGATCTTGTGGTGTCGCGGCCGATCAAATAGATGATGGCTACCGTATACTGCAACTATGCTCGGATAACCGCCTATTCCTAGTGAACACTAACTTTAAGCATAAGGAAAAACATCTATTGACATGGTGACCCATAAAGCTCACCCAACGATGGACTATCCCATATTGCTATCAGCCACCGATAGAGCGGTTAGATAGAGGACTGTCGTTTGTTCTGGGGCACATGTTTAGATTTAGATCATACTCTAGTGCGAGCGCGCGTTTGTTTGCGGCTTACTGGACGTAGGAAAGACACCACGAGCAAACGTCCTAGGGTTCTTCTCAATGATAATAAAGCTAAGAATATATTTCAGGAACAACTAAAAAAAACAGTTAGTCGTCGATGTAAGTGATCTCCATTCAGAGGCAGCTTGGAATGAAATCCAATAAGCTGTGAAAACAGCTCCACAATAGTAGTAATCCTCGACCTGAAGGACGCATTCGACTCTGTCGATCGGGAGGTTCTGTGACAATGTCTGTCATTCTTTGTTTTCTATGAAATTCCAATCTGTATTCATTATCACTTCTCTCGTTTTCAGTTTTTCTCACTTAGTTATACTTCTTGATTAACATTTTCGAACTCTAATCTTTTTTGCTTACCTCTAATACTTCTACTATCACTACCACTATTGGATTTGAACTGAAAATCACATCTCTGTGCTAATGTGGTACGGCACCATGAACGTATGTACGTACGTACGAAGTTCTCCGTTGTAACTTACTGACAGCTTTACGTATAGGAATATTAATGACGTCAAGCACCAAGTGATTTTCGAACTGGTTTTTGTCAAACCATTGAAGTCGTTTCAGATAAGAAGCTTAATTGCGCTACTAACCCGAACTACTGAAAGTTCATATATAAGATATAATCTATTTCATTAGCACAGTTTTACATTATTACAAGGACATTATAAAAAACTAATTTATGTGTGATATCACCAAAGTAATACATTCAGTTTTAAAAGTTACTGTGTTATCGAAATGAAACCAAAGCTATAGTATAATCATTCAAAGTAATAAGGCAATACTTAATATTTCGATACTAATATAATATCGGATAGCTAAATAATAAAAATAATGATATAGATCAAATGAAAATAGAACAAGAAATTTGTTATTCTAGTTTCCATATTATAGTTTCTCAAACATTGCTTAAACTTTTATTCTTTACTGTTAATTCTTCAAAGGGAATAAATTTGTTGTATATATCAAAAATACATACTAGACCCACATACTTTTCATTTTCGACTTGATGTTTTAGTACTGTTATACTTTACATTTATAAGCCTTGGAAAATATATTTATAAGTTTGCTTTTTTCAGTCATAGTACATATTATCTGACCTAATTTATCTTCTTTTATGATTTGTTCCAATGTTTAGTGGTTTACATATAAAGCTGAATTTATCTTACATTATCACACTATATTGCCATATGCCTGAGTTAAATGGATTAATTTCCGTAAACTATGTTGTTCAATTTTTATTTCTCACTTGTATAAATTGACTTGGTCATGTAAACAATAAAGAACTTATTATCATTATTGTTATCATTTGATAAGATGATATTATTTCACTAATGGAATTGTATGACTGTAGGCATTATTTAAATGTTTCATAATATTTATTTTGATACTTCAACTAGTTATATCTGATTTTTAGTTACGAGCAGTAAAATCGGCTATGAAAGATTCTAACGATGAGAATGCTGAGTCTGAGAGAGGTTAGTTTTTCTTTCTGTGAAATTTTAATGTAACTTAACGATTTTTTGCCTAAATCGAAATATTTTTCATGAATATGGTTCTATTGGTTTTAAAAGTTTACTTATTAAGAAACAGTTGTTTTTGCAACTACTGGTTCAATGAAAAATGTTGGATTGTTTTCTATTGCATATTTTTTTGCTACTTCATCGATATAAGAGGGGGTTTATTGCTTTTCAGTTATTATAATAATCTAGTTAACCATATATATATCATTAATAAATGGGCTGTAGATTTCTTATTTGAAAGAATATTTGATAAGTTACTTGTAATATTCACCTTTATGAATCAGGGATTTTTGATGCTGAACAAATTTCCAACCGTTAAAATCAGTGAATAGAATGATAATCGATCGACGATATTGCTTAATAATCTGTAGCAGCGTAAGAGCTACTGATAAAATCCAATTGTTGACATAGTGCTTTGGTTGATTTAAAATCAAAGGCGAAGCTACTAACTGAGATAAAAGTCTTCTTCACGCAATAAACGGACATGCTTATACACAAGATCACACAAAAAGTGTATACAAATGTCATAGGCATTTAAAGGAAGTTAATTTGTAGGTCGCGTGCTGAACAACCAATTAAGGTCCGATTCTTGCCTGTCATAACACCTGGCTATTTGTATTTTGAAACATTTATGAACAGATATCTGAAAATGGCTCAGTCAATCATTTATTAGTTGATCTGCCATAAATTATTTCCTTCATTCAATTTTAAGCTTCGACAATGATTTAAATCAATGTTCATTTTTGTAATGTTTTCGGAAAGACATCTACATCACAACAATCTCATAATGTTTTATAAATAGTTTAGTGGCAAATATTTACTTGCTAATGCCTCATATCTATTATATAATTTAACTTATTGACCAAGTGATTATTCGTGTACTTCATCGTTGTTACAATTTTGTATCGGCTGTTATGACTTGGTTGACTAAATCAAAATAGGTCATGCGTAGCTCACATATTTGAACCAGTTATTGAATGTTGGGTATTTTTATCACTTACTCTGTGATTGATAGTTCTAATGATAAATAATACTCATTGCATAATAAAGGTGTATTATTTGTGGTTACTAGTATTTGGGTACTGTAGTGATCCAGTACTAGTCAATATTAACGTTTAACTGAATCCAATCAACAAAGATATATACCGAATTTACTAAACTAAATTTACTTTTAATTTGGTAAAGCAATGATTAATATACTCGGAATACCAGTTTATTATGTCGGGCAGTTAGTCATGACCAACATGGAGCCCCAGTAAATATATGTGTTAGTCCAAGTTGTTAAATCATATTGTAATTAACGAAGATAGTAAGATTATATGGGGTAAGCAATTTATTTGAAGCAGATACAGTTTACTAACCGAAATGTGTATACCTTGTCTTTGAACATCCATTCACAAAGAAGTGTATTCTTGGCTGTCTTCTATATGTTTTCTGCTCAAAACACCCTGATCACGCCATACATCTGTATTTGATACTCTTCTTTTCGGCAGTATCTACGGGGCAATACTCCGCTGAGCATCCAGTGCATACTATTCATAAGCTGCGTTTTGCGTAGTATACAGCATGATATTAGTATGAAATGGATTTTTCAGTGACGTTTACCTTTTATTATGGTTCGATCCTACAAACGATTATTACAACTACTTTCACATCTATTTTCGATTATCCTACACTTATGTAATTGCTTTCTGTCGATACTTTTTTGTGAATACGAATATAGGATTCACATACCCTTTTTCTAATAATTGGTACAAATGCTTTAGACTGTAAACAAATTCCTACTGTTATATTAAAACTTTTTTAGTTCCATTCAAAAAAACATGAACGTATGGAAATGTTCACACTTTAACTGTAGGTACAATTGATTTATTGAATAAACTTACGAAAAGCTAAATGTGGGAAAACAGAATTATTTTTATTTGTGCATACTACTAACTCTTTAATCTAAAAACAATTCTTTCAAGAATAACGTTGTAAGGTTCTCTGAAAAAAATCATAGCTCTTCACAATCAAGTTCACTAAAAAACTCGCGTGATTGTATTTCTGTGAAGATTATTTATTGGCATTGTTATCACTTATCCCTATGTATTGGTATTATAATTGTTTTGCATCAAGTAAACAGTAAAGTAAAAAGATAAGATTTTCTGACTTCTATCATTAATGTTTAATTGCTAAGGGAGTTAACTAAAAACAAAAATGTAAACAAACATTTCACTTAGATAATTTTTGATTGGTTGCCCAGCTTACATATTTTCAGCATCTACTTAGTACTGTTCCGACTTACTGTTCGGATTTACACTGGTTCATCGATTCTTTGACAGTTAATCATAATGATGAATTAAGTTGATTATTTTTCAGTTGACTTCACCTTTTTTCATACACTCGTTTTGTCTGGTAGTTTTATCAGCACGGGTGACTTGATAGCCGTCGAATTGTAAAGACAGGTAGAGCAGTCTGAGTACTCTTTCACTCATTTTACCTTACCTGAAATAGCTGTAAAGGTAGAGGCGGCATCGTCAGTTTTATCCTATATTAACAAACCTATAGGAAGACAAAAACCAGTGTTTATTCAACAGGTAAAACTTTATAGGAAAAAATTATTGTTTTTTGAGGTTAATACTCCTCGTTTACATAGTTTATGACATAAGCTGCCTGTGTTAGGTCTAAATTTACCTTGGATAAGAGTGGCATGAAAAGGTTTTACGTGTAATCAGAAATGTTACTGTGTCGAATGAAGTATCATAGGTTTATTAACTAAGGTCCTTAGTCGGCTCACTAATTAAAAGGTTCAAAGCCAATTGTGAAAGACAGATATGTATGTTAATGTTTTTTTGTATTATAGATTTTTGTTTTTTAAGGCCTAATTCATTAAGCTCCTTTCATTAACTCTTTTCTACTTTTTTCTGTTCTTACTGTTAGTTCTCCAAAAATATGTGGTAACTAAATGTTGCTACTAAAGTAAATACTACCTTATGCCAAATTGTTTTTTGTTACAATCAACCATCTTATATGATCTGTCTTCATGTACTCTTACAATGGAATAGCCAAATTAAAGGTTTTAAGAAATGACGAGGATTTTATTTAGATTTGTCTACTGGTTAAAATGTGGTAAAACATAGTTGACAAATTTACAATGTTTGTGTCAACACTTCAAATGTGGTTTACAATATTTTCCGCATAAACATACTCCCTGATTTTTATTGATGGTATTCACCAAAGCTGTCTTACCAATTACTTTATTGTTTTTTGCATAACAATGATCATAGTGTTTTGACAGATAGGATCGAATACTCACTGTTTTATTTTAATATTTATCTATTAATTTGCTGATTGACAAGTAACTCAGTCATATTACCTTGGTTAGGTATCTACTTTGTAAATCTAATTTCCTTTTATAAATTCAACTCTCCATATCGCTATATAAACATTATTTAAAGGAATTCTGAAAAGTACTGAGTGTTGAGAGCTCTTTCATTACCATTCTTGGCTTTGAAACATTTCACACCCATAAATGTTCTTCACAGAATCCCTTTTTTAGGTCGTCTAGTGGAAATTCGGGGGTTAACACTTAAAAATATAATTAAGTCATCATCTAGAACTATCTTCAAGTTCTTACCAATTTTTTATAGGAGGAACCAACTTAAAGCTGAAAGAAAATTGATTTTCATCCCTACTTGATTCCCAGTAACTTCCCTCAACTTCTCTAATAGAACACTATCTCTTTATGAGATAATTATATGGTTGTTGGTCAATGATCATTGATCATATATTGTTAAATGATGAATTGATTATTCAATAATTTGTAAGTGTAGATTACTAATCATTGTCTCGTAACATTCAGTCTACAGAACTCATCATTGACCTTGACCCTAAGCCTATCTGTAAACTGCTGAATTTCTCCATATTTTACAATCATGGTCTACGTTGACGGTGTAAATAGGTGTATGGAGATTAGGAGATTGTTGTGTAGCATTGTGAATTAATATCAGTAAATACAATGATAAAAACCTAATTCGGATATCTTTTTTGCACGTATGTGAAGGTTCTCCAGAGCCTTTACCACTCATTCCTGCGACGATATGGACTCGTAAAGATATCACAGAGTTCAAACGAGAAATTCTTGATGTACAAAAGGAATGTTGTATTAAGATAAGCTCTTTAGCAACTGCAACAGTAAGTTTCATTTTATATTTTATTTTTGATTTCACTTCTTAGCTAGTTATTCTATAATAATTTGAGATTGACATTATATTATACGTAAATATCAAACCTAGTAATTTGTTAAAGAAATCAATTTGATTATGTAATTTTTTTTAACTAATATAACTTATTGATGTGTGGCAGTGAAAGAGAAGTCTGATTGGATATCGAGCGTGGACAAACATGCACAGCCTACTGACTATTAAAAATGTGACTTCATTCTTCCCATTGATTTTTTCTCCGAACTCGCTATGTGACTGCTTGTAATTGTGTGGTATGAAATACTGTCTATCTCTTACTCTGGTTCTCTATTTTTCGTCGTCTAGTCTCTGTGTAGTGTGCCGTTTGAGCATCTGATTCAGTGGTAACCTAAACTCGATCACCTGTCTAGTCCAATACTAGGATACCTAATACACAGAAAACCCGCTATTATCACTTATGAATTCCAGCCATCAAATTATGTTCTAGTTTAATATAATGTATTACTATAACAGCTGTCCTCCGGCTATTAAGTCTGAACCACTTTACCCTCTGACCTGAGTTGATGTTTTGAAATACCAAGCTGTCTATTCATCCATTATATCGACAATCGTTGTCGGGTAAATCAAAAAAAGGAAACTGTTTAACTTGCATAAAACTGGGAGTAACAAGAAACAATATGTTGTTACTGGTGACTTATAGCTTCTGAAATCCTGAAAAAATGACAAAATTAATAGTGATGTGAATAGTGATTAGATCTTTGTTTATCATAGTCCAGTGATATATTGCACTTTAAAAGCAATCCGATAGATTGGGATTATAAAGAATTATTTTCTTCTTCCTAGGTACGTGTTCCAACTCATCCAAATGGGAAGGCAATATGTTGGGAATTCGCTACAGACAATTATGATTTAGGTTTTGGATTGTATTTTGAATGGGATTTAGAACCACCTGAAAATATTTCTGTTAATATTTCGGAATCAAGTGATGAGGAAGGCGGTGAAGATGAGGATGAAGAAAGACCTAATGATGAAAATTCCGTGGAGCAAGCATCAACCAAAAGTGGAATTAAAGGTAAAACTACGGTACCATTCCACGATATTTTATTGAAATTGTTATTTGAAAATGAATCATCTCGTCCTAATGGCTTTATTAATGTTCACAGGAAAACTTTTATATCGTAAGATATTTTCCTCTTATAGCTTATCTTCTTTCAAAGTGATGATCAAAGTAGGTCTTCTGAATAGATTGAGCCAGCGAAATCGATATACTACCATCAGGTGTTCAAAAAATAAAATTCCAAATATAGTTCTCATCTTCAGTAATTAATATAGTCCACAAAAGTTAGCAAACCTCATGTATAACCTAAAAGATTACACTACGCTTAACAAATCGATAAAGTTTAGACTAAGTACACAGTGTATGTGTGGAACGTAATTTAAAAGAGATATTTTCAGTTGTTCATGATAATTTTTTGCGTTCTTCCTCTTTAAAAACAATATTTTTTTGTATGGTTTACGCTTTCCTTGCATTCAGAATCTCATGATTTGGAATTGGGCAAAAAGTCATCACAACAGCGTTTACCTACTGATGAACTTATACCAATCTATAGAAGAGATAGTCATACGGAAGTTTATTGTGGTAGCCATCAGTATCCTGGTGTTGGTGTGTATGTCTTCAAATTCGACAATTCATTTTCCCTCTGGCGTTCTAAGTGGCTGTATTACCGCATCTTCTATACGCATTGAGTAGCTTTATCGTCACCGTTGTAAGCTTATTCAAATTATGTTGTTTACATTCCCTACGTTACTTCCGACACTTAATGTTTGTTTGTAAACCAATGTAGTTTCACTTCTCATTGTTTTATCTTAACATGTTGCAAATTGCTTATGATCTCAATACGTACAAGGCATTTATCGCATTTGATAATCATGAATTAAAATTATGCATAATTGTTTCCCTTCTACCTAAGGCATCCCTCGTACTTTGGCTTCTATTTTTCAACTCAAAACTATTTAGTTAAGAGACAAATTAAATTACCTCGCTTTGTTCGACATTAATTTCACTCAAAGTAATTTCTTTTCTGGTCAGTACTGTTCATAGAAAGTGATTGTCTGTATTTATAGTAAATTGGTGAGCCCATGTTTCATAAAAGTGCTATGCAGTTGTACTCAATGTATTTGTTATAATTTAAAAAAAACTTTCATATTATTTAAATCTCACTTTTACTTGATAAATTGATGCTCTATATAAACGTTAGACAAAATGCCCTATATGTAATGGCTAATTAAATTAACTGGCACCGAAATATCTGCGGATTATTACGTTAATACTTTTAGTCCTAGTAGAAATTAACTGACCAACTAACATCTTTGCATGAGGAAATCATATTAATAATAAGTGGTGAGGTTGGAAGTACAGTCCCTACCGTAGCTACTACCTCGACGCGGTGGTTGGGCTTGCCTGTGGTGATGACCCAACCGAGCTATATTGGCTGGAACATATGTTCTTTAGGTCCACCTTGCCAGGCAGGTCGATTGGAGTACGGTGAATGTAAGAGCAGCAATTTAATGTCTGAGGGTGAAGTCGTACTGCCGAATGCAGTTAGGAGTGGGAGCAGTAAGGTGTTCCCCTTGGACAACCAGCATCTGCAGCAATACTGCCTTCTCACAAGGAAGGAGTTAGAAAAGGTCGACATCACCTTACCCCACGGATATCCTTCTCCGGCGGTAACGCCGTTTGGAGAGCGAAGCTAAAACTACAAACTTTCCACAAAAAGGCCGTGTGCAACCGATGTCAATCAGTTGACCTTTGGTCACGCCCACGGTAATGACATATTTAGTAGTAAATTAGTTCGCAGCTACTTATACAACACAACTAGTGACCTACTCTGAACCAAGAAAAGAGGCTCAGCTTTGATTTGAAACTCATCATGCAAGTAGGCTTCTTGCAAACATAGTGTCATAGATACGTCTTCGGATGTGTTGTTTATTTTGACTAACAATTTGGTGACAATACAATAACATGAAGTCTAGTAACAAATAAACATCATACATTGAATACTTGTTCCAGATAAGATTCGATTTTAGTACTAATTACAGAACGGTTAAGGAAAATGAATTTAATATCAAAGTCTTGTAAACACGGATAAATTTTTGCATTTTTACGGTTAGATGACTTTTCGTCGTGAACAAAAATATAGGTGTTGTATTTAAATCTCCAGCCTGAATTAAAAAAATCGTTTTAAAGCGTCCTACTAACTAAAACAATTGTGTATAGATCGCTTTAACTTTTGAAGATAACTTACATTTTTGGTGTTTCTCATTAATCAGAAATTGAAGTGACTGCTGACCGACGTTGTAATAATACTTTCTTGTATTATAAATGGCTTATCAATGTGAATACGTACATTATTCACATGATCAGAAGTAACTTATGACCCGGCAGAAATATAATTCCGTTCACGTTGTTACCCTACACCAATTCCGAGAGGCAATCAGGAAAGAGGTTTAAAACAATGAAATTTATAATGATAACTAAAAAAGAAACACAGAGTTCGAAAGAGACGGATGATATTGAAGTTGAATATATCGAAGCTAAAGATTTGAAGATAAGGCCATTATTCTACACTTTGAGACACCGCCAAACAGAAAGTCTGAACATAACGGCAAATAAGTGTATATACATAAACAAGGGTGAAATTATAGGCAACTCATGAGTCCGCTGTTTGTTTATCTACAATGACCCATTCAACCTGTTTGCGTTCGCGGCCTAGATGATAGCTGACTGACGTAGTTGTGACGCCACTAAATTAAGTTTAAACAAAAGGCATTACGTCCTAATGACTTTTATTTTACGCTTGAACATCCTCATAGAATATCATTTAGTCGATCACAGCTTGTTATTTGTTAATACTTCCTTATTATCAATGATACTTCAAAAGATTTTGCACTAGTTAATGATAAGTTTCGCCACATTGTTTCATATTTGGAAAGTGAACGTCTGACTCATTTACCGAATAAAGGTCAACGTAACAAATTGAATGAGGCGGAATTAGAATCCACAATGCACTGGTTAAGTCAGGTGTTTTAACCAAAGCTTGACAGTTATAACGAACCAGAAGGCACTTAGGAAAACATAAACGTGACCATATCGGAACCAAATCGAGCGCTTTTTTTGTCTAAATCTAAAATCACCGGCTTTGTATCTTGGACATGTTTTATGAGTACGTTTTCAGGCGCTTCCATATCAAGCTGAACCGAGTGGAGAGAGCGGATTTAACAATTTTATGATTAGATTCACTGTTATGAAAGACAGCGATAAATGACTACGATCTGCCAGGTCATCAGGACCCAGTGATTCAGAATCCTACAGATCGTAAGGCTTGGCAGATTGAAGTGCTTTCACATATGGTTTACAATAAAAACCGCTGTCGACCATGTTCTAGTTTCCCATAGAACTTTTCGTAAAAGATGAAACTCCTTATATTTTTTAAGAACTTGCTATTTTTCATTTGCTTATTGATATGAAGATTCGCTCCCTTATTTCTTTACAGTACTTTATTTTGTTTTGGCTATTCCTATAATGCGCTCTTGTACTGGAAAACTTATTATAAATTAGGTAAAAAGCTGCTCATTAATGGAATATAACATTAACATCCATTAGAAACGACACGTCAAGGGGGAAAGGACTGTAACTATCTAGATAAAGTGTGTTGTGAGAAAAATACGAATTAGTTTATCCAACGGATACAACTTTGTGGAAACTACAGGCTTCTGTACATGTACCAGTTTCACGCATAGCTAATATTCATAACAAAATTACCAACAAACCTAATTCAAAACACAAAGCCATGGATCAACAGATAAAAATGCATTCGAATATTTTAAATAATTGATTTTTGTCTATATACAATGTTTTTTTTAAAAAGAAATGAATCAATCGTGTAGATCTTCATCCTCCCCCGGACACTGTTCCAAAAGTTCAGATTGACTTTGATACTGAAGGCTACACCAAAAACAATAATTATGCCGACTTCGTAAATAGTCTAAAAGCTGTATAAAGTTCCTTTGGATCTATAAAGTTAAGATAAAAAGTTAAGTTGAAATAGTGCTAAATGCAATTGTATAATTGTTTCAACTCATATTTTTATCCTACAGCAATAACCTAGAAGTTTTACATAATAAGCCAGCAAACAGACTTTGGACATCTCTCAAATCAGTATTTAGTGAGCGATAGGATATAAATGTAAACTGTTGTTATATATTTGGTAAATAAAAACAGAAAAGAGACTACAAATATACTTACAGAAGTGTGGTCACAATTCGCATGATTTGCATCTAGCTTGGCTAAGTCATTATCCGGAAAGTCTTCGTTCATACAATCTTCCTGAGACAGTACAGTATGTACAGATCTGTCTTTTAAAGATTTAAAGCTACTTGAACTGCTCGATCCATACTTGGAATTATCCACGGCTTCAGTTGGAACAGGATTAACAGGAGGCCAGAATGATTCGTGAACTGGAGTTTCGATAAGTTCCTTCAGATCCAGATCTTGACATATTCGACGGGCAACATCTAGTTGTCGATTCAAACGATTCTGTCGGAATCTCACGGCCATAGTGCTTCGGAATTCATCTTTGTATGCCATTTGTATTTGTTGTCTGAGGTTTTCCCTAAACATTATACGCTCATTTTTCTCAGAAGCGAAACCCAGGCCTTCACGACCTTGAGGAATTTCAATCGAAACAGGATCAGCTATCCCAGTGGCTAAAAGTTACAAACAAAGTATAGGAACAGGAAGTGAAAAAGACAATTCTACTTACGACCGTAAAGCGATGTAAGGCTTCACACGATGATTAGTTTTTATTGTTCAAAAAATTAGGATGTGTGAGTGAATTTGTAGAATTTAATGAACCTGTATTACTTTATTAAAATGCTTCTGTGGAGAAAGCTATATGGGGCATACAATCAGACAACTGAACCACCACGTTATCGAAACCTTCCTTCATGGATGGGAAAGGGCATAATCAAAACACCACGCGGATTCGAAGTGACGTACATTAGGTCACGAAACGTCAAGAATACAATTTGTCGTATACCCACTAGTTTTCTTTTTAGGGCTCGATCTTGTCTCTAATACATTGCACAAGCTATGGAGATTTGAGTTAAAGATCGGAACCTGTGTTCATAAAAAACTTATGACACCTCTATCTTTTCTGTAGCTGAACTGGCCTTAACAAATTAATTTATTTACTTATCATCATCATTTGTTATACTCCTTCTTTGTTCACTTATTTTTCGCTATGCCTTTTGTCTTTCGAAAATACGGGTCACTACCCATTTATCTGGACAATTCTTACTGATTAATCTGTTGTTGTAATGAATACCATTCCAGCGTCTGGTTTTCCAAGGTGTTTGACCTGCTCCCTATTACGAAATATTGATCTAAACCGTTGTCGTTCTTATTATAATCAGTATACCTATCGTCGCACTACCAAAATGTACTGTTTGTTCCAATGTGATCACCGACTCAAATTACTTTGATTTATCAATCCCATATATGCATAAAAATATAACTGTATGTTAGAGCGAACCCAGATGAAGATCTAATGAAAAACAATATTGTTCGCTTGTAGACATGTTTCAATTCACAATATGACCCGACCGTAGCTGCTACCTTGACGTGGTGGTCGGGCTTGACTATCGTGATGACCCAACCGAGCTATACTGGCTGGAACATATGTTCCTGCAGGTCCTACCATGCCAGGCAGGTCGATTGGAGAACGATGAGACTAAAAGCAGCTACCCAAGGTCTGAGGGCGAAGTCGTACTGCTGACTGCAGAGGGGTGTGACAGCAGTAAGGTGTTTCCCTCGGACAACCAGCATCTGCAGCGATGCTGCCTTCTCACAAGGAAGGAAGGGTTAGAAAAGGTCGACCCTAAAAATGTCACACCTCCCCTAACTCACGGATTTCCGTCTCCGTCGGTAAGGGTGCCCACTAAGGGCCTTTAAGAACGGAGCTAATCCTCAAAAAACATTTTATAAAAAGGCCGTGCGGGACCGGCCTCAAGCAGTTGTCCCTTGGGCTCTGCGGTCACGCACCAACACTAATCTATCTTCCTTTTCAGGTTCCTCAAGAAACAACCTTCCACGGTGTGGGCAGCCGGGAAGTGAAGACCGCCCTCATACCCCTAACAGCACGCGAGACCGAATTGGTCAAAATCAAATCCTTCCCTAGTACCTCTCTTATCTCCACGACTAACTCTTCTCACATTCATTCATCACAGTGCACAGCTAATGCAGACGATACGAGTTCGCGAAACGTCGTTCCTGGTCTCCTTAAACCTCGCTCTAGACTACATGTTGGAGCATTTAATGTACGGACATTGTGTCAAATAGGGCAACAGGCTTCCTTAGATAGGACTTTAGAATCTCGTGCCATCGATGTATGCTGCGTCTCGGAAACGCGCATACAGGATCCGAGTAACGTCATACACTTGACCACACCATGTCAAAATAAAGAAGCAGCTCGATTTACTCTTCGTGTATCCGGTAGCCCTGATGCTGCTTCCCGGGGTCTTGCTGGCGTAGGCATAGCATTGAGTCGTAGGGCAGAACAATCTCTCCTTGACTGGATCCCAATAGATAGTCGATTGTGCGCTGTCCGACTAAACGGGACAGTAAGGACTCGGAAAGATAGGGACAATCGCCGTTGCCTCTTCGTCGTATCTGCCCATGCCCCCACTGAATGCAGTTCAGACGAGGTTAAGGATGAGTTTTACAGAAAGCTTTCGGACCTCCTCCAAAAAGCTAGGCGCTCTGATATAGTAATAATGGCTGGTGACTTTAATGCTCAAGTAGGTAGACTAAGTGAGCAGGAGAAACACCTAGGTGGATGTTATGGTGTCGCGGCTCAAAGAACAGACAATGGTGACCGTCTGTTGCAAGCATGCTTAGACAACCGCCTATTCTTAGCGAACACTAACTTTAGGCATAAGGAAAAGCATCTGTTGACCTGGCGACCTCCAAAGTTGTCTCAACGTTGGACTCAAGTAGATCACATCGCCATCAGCCACCGATGGAGGGGTTCGATAGAGGACTGTCGCTCGTTCTGGAGCACATGCCTAGATTCAGATCATGCCCTAGTGCGAGCGCGTATTTGTTTGAAGCTTACTGGGCATAGGAAAGACACCGTAAGAAAGCCTCTTAGGGTTTTACTTAATGATAATAAGGCGAAAAATATATTTCAGGAACAACTAGAAAGACAGTTAGGCGACCATTTAAGCGATTCCCATCCGGAAGCAGGATGGAATGATATTAAAAAGTCTGTGAAAACAGCAGTGATATCTGCTAGTAAGATTGACCATAAGGCTGGAATGAAACCGTGGATCTCAGTAGCATCCACCGATCTGATGGATGCCCGAAAACTCATCCCACCTGGCTCTGAACATGATGAAGAACGAAGTCAACTTAGGCGCAGACTTATAAAAAGCCTACGTAACGATCGCGAACAGTGGTGGGTGGCGAAAGCAAAAGCGATGGAAAAGGCAGCGGCGATAAGCAACAGTAGACAACTTTTCCGACTTATCAAGGAAACTGGTATTAGGAATCCTAGTGTAAGTGAGACTATCTCAGAAAATGACGGGACTATTATTTATTCTCAATCCAGGAGACTGGATCGATGGGCAGAACACTTTAGGGATCAGTTCAACTGGCCTCGAGCCACTCTTCAGTTACCCACGATCTCCAGTCATCCTGAATGGCAAATCGACGTAAGTCCCCCTAGTCTTAATGAAGTTGAAAAAGCGTTAGGAAATCTGGAGCGAGGACGAGCTGCAGGTCCTGATAGACTGACCCCTGAGATATTTAAGGATGGTGGTCCAGTTTTAGCAGCTAGATTGACTGAGATCTTAGGTAGAATCTGGGAACTGGACGTAATCCCATCCGACTGGTCTCAATCACTGATTGTCCCAATCTATAAGAAAGGACAAAAGTCTTCTTGTGACAATCACAGGGGAATAAGTCTAACTAATATAGTATCTAAAATATTGGCCTCAGTAATACTTCGACGCTTAACGAAAGCTCGTGAAGAGCAAACTCGAGAAAACCAATCTGGTTTTCGACCTGGACGTGGCTGTATAGACCACATTTTCACACTACGACAGGTCCTGGAACACAAACACACATTTAGGCGTCCTACAATAGTTGTTTTCCTGGACCTTAAGGCGGCATTTGACTCAGTGGATCGTGAGGTTCTGTGGCACTATCTGTCATTGAAAGGTGTACCACTTTCTCCATTCTTGTTTAATTTTATCATAGACATGCTCCTAGAAATAACCTTATCCTCGTCTGAATTTTCTGGAGTAGACCTTTTACCAGGTGGCTCGCTTATTGACTTAGAATATGCCGATGACATTGTCCTACTTGGTGAAGACGCTGACAAAATGCAGTCTTCTGACTACCCTAAGCAACAATGCAAGCATGTTCGGTATGCGATTTTCCCCCTCGAAATGCAAAATGTTGCTTCAAGATTGGGTTTCATCGGCACCTGAACTAGTGATAGGGAGTGAAGTGGTCGAACGTGTAGACCGCTTCACTTATCTTGGGAGTCTCATCAGTGCCGATGGTCTGGTGACTGACGAAATCTCGGCACGGATACAGAAGGCTCGATTGGCTTTTGCCAACCTGCGTCACTTATGGCGTAGGCGAGATATCCGTTTGCTTACTAAAGGACGAGTGTACTGTGCAGTGGTTCGCTCCGTCTTACTTTATGGCTGTGAAACATGGCCAATGAGAGTAGAAGATACTCGTCGGTTATTGGTTTTCGATCATAGATGTCTTCGAAGCATTGCTCGTATATGGTGGGACACCCGAGTGAGCAACGCTGTTATTAGGAAACGGGTACTAGGTAAGAATGACAGATCAATCGATGAAGTGGTGAAACTTCATCAGTTGAGGTGGTTGGGACACGTGTTGCGTATGCCTAACCAGCGACTCCCTCGTCGAGCTTTGTTTTGTAGTGTAGGAATAGGTTGGAAGAAAGCTAGGGGCGGCCAGACCAAAACATGGCAGAAATCCATGAAGTCATTGACGAGTGGACTACCTGGTTGGGGTCCGCGAGATGATAATAATCGATGGCTAGAGACCTTGAATGACATGGCTCAAAATCGTTCGCAATGGCGCCAGTGCATTTATTCTTTGTGTTCTCTCAAATCCTAATCTTCTGAGTTCTTCAACACCTCTAGTTTTTACTTTCTAAACTTATCTCATTGAATCATACTTCGTGAATAATATCTTCTAATTCTAACCCCTCCGATTACTTCTAATACCTTTACTACCTCTTCTACTATTGGATTTGAATTGGCAATTATATCTCTGTGCTGATCAGGTATGGCGACATGAACTGATGTACTTACGTACGAAGTTCTACGTTGCAACTGACTGACTGACTGAATTCACAATATAAGCATTTTTAATCTAAAAAGAATCAACTATATCTCACACTAAAACGATGCGAAAAACGTGCCATTGTGAACATTGAAACACCGTGAAGTTACAAACACAATGGCGAAACTGCCGTATGCTACATACCATTTTTCCCCAAACCTTTCCCCGGAACGTATCCCATTTTCGAAAGCAGACTGAAACCCTTGTTTTCAGGTCCAACCTTTTTCTTAGGCTTCTTTCAAGTTATGCATTTCCCTTTCCGACTTCGAAAGACATTTGTTTTTCGTCGATTTGCTTCCACAACACGCTGTCGTCGGGAATCCCGTGATATAAATAAACCAGGTTTTACATCTTCTCTAGAAATTTATCAAATGAAACATGACCTTACATTTTCATTCAGGATATCATCAGACATGTAGTCAACTACATTATCCACGGTGTCTTTCCTATGCCCAGTAAGCTTCAAACAAATACGCGCTCGCACTAGGGCATGATCTGAATCTAGGCATGTGCTCCAGAACGAGCGACAGTCCTCTATCGAACCCCTCCATCGGTGGCTGATGGCGATGTGATCTACTTGAGTCCAACGTTGAGACAACTTTGGAGGTCGCCAGGTCAACAGATGCTTTTCCTTATGCCTAAAGTTAGTGTTCGCTAAGAATAGGCGGTTGTCTAAGCATGCTTGCAACAGACGGTCACCATTGTCTGTTCTTTGAGCCGCGACACCATAACATCCACCTAGGTGTTTCTCCTGCTCACTTAGTCTACCTACTTGAGCATTAAAGTCACCAGCCATTATTACTATATCAGAGCGCCTAGCTTTTTGGAGGAGGTCCGAAAGCTTTCTGTAAAACTCATCCTTAACCTCGTCTGAACTGCATTCAGTGGGGGCATGGGCAGATACGACGAAGAGGCAACGGCGATTGTCCCTATCTTTCCGAGTCCTTACTGTCCCGTTTAGTCGGACAGCGCACAATCGACTATCTATTGGGATCCAGTCAGGGAGAGATTGTACTGCCCTACGACTCAATGCTATGCCTACGACAGCAAGACCCCGGGAAGCAGCATCAGGGCTACCGGATACACGAAGAGTAAATCGAGCTGCTTCTTTATTTTGACATGGTGTGGTCAAGTGTATGACGTTACTCGGATCCTGTATACGCGTTTCCGAGACGCAGCATACATCGATGGTACGAGATTCTAAAGTCCTATCTAATGTTGCCTTATTTGACACAATGTCCGTACATTAAATGCTCCAACATGTAGTCTAGAGCGAGGTTTAAGGAGACCAGGAACGACGTTTCGCGAACTCGTATCGTCTGCATTAGCTGTACACTGTGATGAATGAATGTGAGAAGAGTTAGTCGTGGAGATAAGAGAGGTACTAGGGAAGGATTTGATTTTGACCAATTCGGTCTCGCGTGCTGTTAAGGGTATGAGGGCGGTCTTCACTTCCCGGCTGCCCACACCGTGGAAGGTTGTTTCTTGAGGAACCTGAAAAGGAAGATAGATTAGTGTTGGTGCGTGACCGCAGAGCCCAAGGGACAACTGCTTGAGGCCGGTCCCGCACGGCCTTTTTATAAAATGTTTTTTGAGGATTAGCTCCGTTCTTAAAGGCCCTTAGTGGGCACCCTTACCGACGGAGACGGAAATCCGTGAGTTAGGGGAGGTGTGACATTTTTAGGGTCGACCTTTTCTAACCCTTCCTTCCTTGTGAGAAGGCAGCATCGCTGCAGATGCTGGTTGTCCGAGGGAAACACCTTACTGCTGTCACACCCCTCTGCAGTCAGCAGTACGACTTCGCCCTCAGACCTTGGGTAGCTGCTTTAGTCTCATCGTTCTCCAATCGACCTGCCTGGCATGGTAGGACCTGCAGGAACATATGTTCCAGCCAGTATAGCTCGGTTGGGTCATCACGATAGTCAAGCCCGACCACCACGTCAAGGTAGCAGCTACGGTCGGGTCATATTGTGAATTGAAACATGTCTACAAGCGAACAATATTGTTTTTCATTAGATCTTCATCTGGGTTCGCTCTAACATACAGTTATATTTTTATGCATATATGGGATTGATAAATCAAAGTAATTTGAGTCGGTGATCACATTGGAACAAACAGTACATTTTGGTAGTGCGACGATAGGTATACTGATTATAATAAGAACGACAACGGTTTAGATCAATATTTCGTAATAGGGAGCAGGTCAAACACCTTGGAAAACCAGACGCTGGAATGGTATTCATTACAACAACAGATTAATCAGTAAGAATTGTCCAGATAAATGGGTAGTGACCCGTATTTTCGAAAGACAAAAGGCATAGCGAAAAATAAGTGAACAAAGAAGGAGTATAAAAAATGATGATGATAAGTAATAAATTAATTTGTTAAGGCCAGTTCAGCTACAGAAAAGATAGAGGTGTCATAAGTTTTTTATGAACACAGGTTCCGATCTTTAACTCAAATCTCCATAGCTTGTGCAATGTATTAGAGACAAGATCGAGCCCTAAAAAGAAAACTAGTGGGTATACGACAAATTGTATTCTTGACGTTTCGTGACCTAATGTACGTCACTTCGAATCCGCGTGGTGTTTTGATTATGCCCTTTCCCATCCATGAAGGAAGGTTTCGATAACGTGGTGGTTCAGTTGTCTGATTGTATGCCCCATATAGCTTTCTCCACAGAAGCATTTTAATAAAGTAATACAGGTTCATTAAATTCTACAAATTCACTCACACATCCTAATTTTTTGAACAATAAAAACTAATCATCGTGTGAAGCCTTACATCGCTTTACGGTCGTAAGTAGAATTGTCTTTTCACTTCCTGTTCCTATACTTTGTTTGTAACTTTTAGCCACTGGGATAGCTGATCCTGTTTCGATTGAAATTCCTCAAGGTCGTGAAGGCTGGGTTTCGCTTCTGAGAAAAATGAGCGTATAATGTTTAGGGAAAACCTCAGACAACAAATACAAATGGCATACAAAGATGAATTCCGAAGCACTATGGCCGTGAGATTCCGACAGAATCGTTTGAATCGACAACTAGATGTTGCCCGTCGAATATGTCAAGATCTGGATCTGAAGGAACTTATCGAAACTCCAGTTCACGAATCATTCTGGCCTCCTGTTAATCCTGTTCCAACTGAAGCCGTGGATAATTCCAAGTATGGATCGAGCAGTTCAAGTAGCTTTAAATCTTTAAAGACAGATCTGTACATACTGTACTGTCTCAGGAAGATTGTATGAACGAAGACTTTCCGGATAATGACTTAGCCAAGCTAGATGCAAATCATGCGAATTGTGACCACACTTCTGTAAGTATATTTGTAGTCTCTTTTCTGTTTTTATTTACCAAATATATAACAACAGTTTACATTTATATCCTATCGCTCACTAAATACTGATTTGAGAGATGTCCAAAGTCTGTTTGCTGGCTTATTATGTAAAACTTCTAGGTTATTGCTGTAGGATAAAAATATGAGTTGAAACAATTATACAATTGCATTTAGCACTATTTCAACTTAACTTTTTATCTTAACTTTATAGATCCAAAGGAACTTTATACAGCTTTTAGACTATTTACGAAGTCGGCATAATTATTGTTTTTGGTGTAGCCTTCAGTATCAAAGTCAATCTGAACTTTTGGAACAGTGTCCGGGGGAGGATGAAGATCTACACGATTGATTCATTTCTTTTAAAAAAAACATTGTATATAGACAAAAATCAATTATTTAAAATATTCGAATGCATTTTTATCTGTTGATCCATGGCTTTGTGTTTTGAATTAGGTTTGTTGGTAATTTTGTTATGAATATTAGCTATGCGTGAAACTGGTACATGTACAGAAGCCTGTAGTTTCCACAAAGTTGTATCCGTTGGATAAACTAATTCGTATTTTTCTCACAACACACTTTATCTAGATAGTTACAGTCCTTTCCCCCTTGACGTGTCGTTTCTAATGGATGTTAATGTTATATTCCATTAATGAGCAGCTTTTTACCTAATTTATAATAAGTTTTCCAGTACAAGAGCGCATTATAGGAATAGCCAAAACAAAATAAAGTACTGTAAAGAAATAAGGGAGCGAATCTTCATATCAATAAGCAAATGAAAAATAGCAAGTTCTTAAAAAATATAAGGAGTTTCATCTTTTACGAAAAGTTCTATGGGAAACTAGAACATGGTCGACAGCGGTTTTTATTGTAAACCATATGTGAAAGCACTTCAATCTGCCAAGCCTTACGGGCTATAGGATTCTGAATCACTGGGTCCTGATGACCTGGCAGATCGTAGTCATTTATCGCTGTCTTTCATAACAGTGAATCTAATCATAAAATTGTTAAATCCGCTCTCTCCACTCGGTTCAGCTTGATATGGAAGCGCCTGAAAACGTACTCATAAAACATGTCCAAGATACAAAGCCGGTGATTTTAGATTTAGACAAAAAAAGCGCTCGATTTGGTTCCGATATGGTCACGTTTTATGTTTTCCTAAGTGCCTTCTGGTTCGTTATAACTGTCAAGCTTTGGTTAAAACACCTGACTTAACCAGTGCATTGTGGATTCTAATTCCGCCTCATTCAATTTGTTACGTTGACCTTTATTCGGTAAATGAGTCAGACGTTCACTTTCCAAATATGAAACAATGTGGCGAAACTTATCATTAACTAGTGCAAAATCTTTGAAGTATCATTGATAATAAGGAAGTATTAACAAATAACAAGCTGTGATCGACTAAATGATATTCTATGAGGATGTTCAAGCGTAAAACAAAAGGCATTACGTCCTAATGACTTTTATTTTACGCTTGAACATCCTCATAGAATATCATTTAGTTGATCACAGCTTGTTACTTGTTAATACTTCCTTATTATCAATGATACTTCAAAAGATTTTGCACTAGTTAATGATAAGTTTCGCCACATTGTTTCATCTTTGGAAAGTGAACGTCTGACTCATTTACCGAATAAAGGTCAACGTAACAAATTGAATGAGGCGGAATTAGAATCCACAATGCACTGGTTAATAGTCAGGTGTTTTAACCAAAGCTTGACAGTTATAACGAACTAGAAGGCATTTAGGAAAACATAAACGTGACCATATCGGAACCAAATCAAGCGCTTTTTTTGTCTAAATCTAAAATCACCGGCTTTGTATCTTGGACATGTTTTATGAGTACGTTTTCAGGTGCTTCCATATCAAGCTGAACCGAGTGGAGAGAGTGGATTTAACAATTTTATGATTAGATCCACTGTTATGAAAGACAGCGATAAATGACTACGATCTGCCAGGTCATCAGGACCCAGTGATTCAGAATCCTACAGATCGTAAGGCTTGGCAGATTGAAGTGCTTTCACATATGGTTAACAATAAAAACCGCTGTCGACCATGTTCTAGTTTTCCATAGAACTTTTCGTAAAGGATGAAACTCCTTATATTTTTTAAGAACTTGCTATTTTCCATTTGCTTAGTGATATGAAGATTCGCTCCCTTATTTCTTTACAGTACTTTATTTTGTTTTGGCTATTCCTATAATGCGCTCTTGTACTAGAAAACTTATTATAAATTAGGTAAAAAGCTGCTCATTAATGGAATATAACATTAACATCCATTAGAAATGACACGTCAAGAGGGAAAGGACTGTAACTATCTAGATAAAGTGTGTTGTGAGAAAAATACGAATTAGTTTATCCAACGGATATAACTTTGTGGAAACTACAGGCTTCTGTACATGTACCAGTTTCACGCATAGCTAATATTCATAACAAAATTACCAACAAACCTAATTCAAAACACAAAGCCATGGATCAACAAATAAAAATGCATTCGAATATTTTAAATGATTGATTTTTGTCTATATACAATGTTTTTTTAAAAAGAAGTGAATCAATCGTGTTGATCTTCATCCTCTCCCGGACACTGTTCCAAAAGTTCAGATTGACTTTGATACTGAAGGCTACACCAAAAGCAATAATTATGCCGACTTCGTAAATAGTCTAAAAGCTGTATAAAGTTCCTTTGGATCTATAAAGATAAGATAAAAAGTTAAGTTGAAATAGTGCTAAATGCAATTGTATAATTGTTTCAACTCATATTTTTATCCTACAGCAATAACCTAGAAGTTTTACATAATAAGCCAGCAAACAGACTTTGGACATCTCTCAAATCAGTATTTAGTGAGCAATAGGATATAAATGTAAACTATTGTTATATTTGGTAAATAAAAACAGAAAAGAGATTACAAATATACTTACAGAAGTGTGGTCACAATTCGCATGATTTGCATCTAGCTTGGCTAAGTCATTATCCGGAAAGTCTTCGTTCATACAATCTTCCTGAGACAGTACAGTATGTGCAGATCTGTCTTTTAAAGATTTAAAGCTACTTGAACTGCTCGATCCATACTTAGAATTATCCACGGGTTCAGTTGGAACAGGATCAACAGGAGGCCAGAATGATTCGTGAACTGGAGTTTCGATAAGTTCCTTCAGATCCAGATCTTGACATATTCGACGGGCAACATCTAGTTGTCGATTCAAACGATTCTGTCGGAATCTCACGGCCATAGTGTTTCGGAATTCATCTTTGTATGCCATTTGTATTTGTTGTCTGAGGTTTTCCCTAAACATTATACGCTCATTTTTCTCAGAAGCGAAACCTAGGCCTTCACGACCTTGAGGAATTTCAATCGAAACAGGATCAGCTATCCCAGTGGCTAAAAGTTACAAACAAAGTATAGGAACAGGAAGTGAAAAAGACAATTCTACTTACGACCGTAAAGCGATGTGAGGGTTCACACAATGATTAGTTTTTATTATTCAAAAAATTAGGATGTATAAGTGAATTTGTAGAATTTAATGAACCTGTATTACTTTATTCAAATGCTTCTGTGGAGAAAGCTATATGGGGCATACAATCAGACAACTGAACCACCAAGTTATCGAAACCTTCCTTCATGGATGGGAAAGGGCATAATTAAAACACCACGCGGCTTCGAAGTGACGTACATTAGGTCACGAAACGTCAGAAATACAATTTGTCGTATGCCCACTAGTTTTCTTTTTAGGGCTCGATCTTGTCTCTAATACATTGCACAAGCTATGGAGATTTGAGTTAAAGATCGGAACCTATGTTCATAAAAAACTTATGACACCTCTATCTTTTCTGTAGCTGAACTGGCTTTAACAAATTAATTTATTTACTTATCATCATGATCATCATCATTTGTTATACTCCTTCTTTGTTCACTTATTTTTCGCTATGCCTTTTGTCTTTCGAAAATACGGGTCATTACCCATTTATCTGGACGATTCTTACTGAGTAATCTGTTGTTGTAATGAATGCCATTCCAGCGTCTAGTTTTCCAAGGTGTTTGACCTGCTCCCTATTACGAAATATTGATCTAAACCGTTGTCGTTCTTATTATAATCAGTATACCTATCGTCGCACTACCAAAATGTACTGTTTGTTCCAATGTGATCACTGACTCAAATTACTTTGGTTTATCAATCCCATGTATGCATACAAATATGACTGCATGTTAGAGCAAACCCTGATGAGGATCTAATGCAAAACAATATTGTTCGCTTGTAGACAAGTTTCAATTCACAATATAAGCATTTTTAATCTAAAAAGAATCAGTTATATCTCACACTAAAACGATGCGAAAAACGTGCCATTGTGAACATTGAAACACCGTGAAGTTACAAACACAATGGCGAAACTGCCGTATGTTACGTACCATTTTTCCCCAAACCTTTCCCCGGAACGTATCCCATTTTCGAAAGCAGACTGAAACCCTTGTTTTCAGGTCCAACCTTTTTCTTTAGGCCTTCTTTCAAGTGATGCATTTCCCTTTCCGACTTCGAAAGACATTTGTTTTTTCGTCGATTTGCTTCCACAACACGCTGTCGTCGGGAATCCCGTGATATAAATAAACCAGGTTTTACATCTTCTCTAGAAATTTATCAAATGAAACATGACCTTACATTTCATTCAGGATATCATCAGACATGTAGTCAACTACATTATCCATTTCAATACTTAAGTGGTGTTTATATTTAACAAACCGAAGTCATCACCTTTATGTCAAAATAAATCCTATTTTGGATGAAAAAAAATGACTTTATTTAAATGTATAAAATCCAGAACTGTATATATACATATATATAACATTTCTACGGTATGAAAAAGATTTTAAACCACTTTATGTCTAAGACAGTTTTTATCAAGACCCGGTGAAAAAAAGGATTTATAATACATTCAGAAACATAATTGTTTCTAAAGAATAACATGAGTTTTGAGATGCAGAAGCAAAGTATGGTTCAAAAGTTACTCATAATATCTAGTTAAGTTACAAATAACTTCCTAGTTGCGCACAAAACAGCTTGAGTGAAATAAGTGCATAGCAAACTGTTATTATTAGAACAGAATACCAGCTGAACTTTACCAATGATGTACAGGGTTGGAAGAAATTCGGACTTATGGTAACAAATTTTATTATCTTGTAATATGTAAATTGTCAGCTGATAAATTTGTGAGATTACGGTTGAAAAAACATTTTGCCACATTCTTCGGTAACAGAAAAACACATAAATGTAATGCTTGATGCAGACAATCTATGGCGATAATTACACACAAAAGAAACCGACCACGTCGACGAGCGATGTTGTTCGGTGTAGAAGTAGACTGGAAGAAATCTAGGACGGACAGAAACAAGCACGCCCGGAAAGTGATTGTCAGTTTGACTGAGTCTTGTTAGTGGGAGCAACATACCTGTTCTGAATTCGAGTGATTATAGTAACTAGTAGTTAGGTCTTAAAGTGAAATGGCTCAAAATAGTTTACAATAATGAAGGTGCATCCACCCCTTTTCCTTACCCGAATTTTAAGTCTGTGAATTCACCACTCATAATAAGTGTCGAAAAGAATCAAAAACAGACTGCGTTTCGTCATACCAAAGGTTTGATCAGAACTCGATTTCGATATAACGCACAATTCACTTTGTCAAATAACCATTCAATAAAGAATAGAAACATTAAGAAACAAGTAGTACGTCAAAGTTAATAATCGTACGTTTTTATTCATTGCAATTATATATAAAAATTTACAACCTACAGAAATATCAAGCAACAAAGTCGGACGTACAGACTAACTTGAATGCCACCTAAAATAAGATTGAACAGTTCTAATATCCAAAATCTTTTTCACGAGCTAGTGTAAACCAATTTGTAAACAGAATGAGAAAATAAGAAATGTAATTAGTTGCAGTTATGAGCATGATATTTTCTGATAATTTAGTCAAAAATTTTTATTTTCAGTATCTTTTTATCATTCTCATATTCAATTTCTTCGACTTGTACAAATTAAATTCTTAAATAGACGTTAGAGAGTGTATTGTTATTCATCTGGGTTAACTAATGGATTCTCCTGACAACCATTAGTATTCCTGAGCGAATGAATAAACGACTTTTGCTCCTATACAATCTCTTTTTCTTAGGGAAATCAGCTGTAACTTGGAGCTTTTCTACGAGATTTACGGTAGCACCAGCGTCAACAGTTAGATAACGTACTTCGCGTCAGTGAGCTGAAAAATCCCACTAAGTTCTCGGTCTCTAGGTGATTCAACATACACTAATCATAAACTTCGGTATGCCGTGATTACTTTGTTGAAAAACGCTTATATCAGTTACACTTTTCGGACAAAGTTCACCTTATTCATTACAAATCAGAAATAAAAAATGAGGAGGATCGAGTTTATATTTCATTGATCAATGCAATTTCGAGGAATGAGTGAACCTAAATCTATATTATGTATTTTTCACAGACGTTACGATTCTCATTTTTCATCTATTTTCCAGCAAGTATCAAGGTACGATGCTTCGAACACGCGTTGCAAATAGTTCTGTCTTTTCTACTAACGGTAAATGACAGCTAACGATCAACCTGAATAATCGGCGACAGTATCTATAGACGTTCAGCCCTGCTGACGTTCCCATAGCCGTGTCTAGTATCGATTCTCTATAGCTCTATGAATCGCTACTCGCTTTATGTTCGCTGCTGTTAATCGTTACTTCGTCGAATATCGAATCCGTGGTTTTTAAGGCCGCAACAGATATGTACCGAATCACTTGTCTATTTTTTGCATTAGTTGGAGAAGACACAATGATTACAGAGCAGCGACGGCAGATATTCAGTGTTCCGCCTCGGAACTTGTATACCACACGATTTCGCATCTACCCAGGGAATTTTTTCACACAAGGGAGCAGCAATTTTGTGTATATTAGATAACGTCTAACAACTACCTGCGTAGGTTCAAACACTGCATCCAGTGTTAACTAGAATATAAGGTTGACAGTTGGCTCTCCCTCGAGAGTTATTTACCCGTCCGTTTTTCTTCATGCGAGTAGATTCAGTACTCAAACCTTTACAACATCCTTACGAAGAATATTTTCACGTGATCGCTCGTCAAGACAAGACAATCGAGTTTGATAGACACGGTCTTTTGCTGTTTGCGGATCAGGATAGTCTACCTGGACGTTGGTTCACGTTTATCGACTAGGGCGAACTCATAATAGCTTCAAGCGTACCTAGTGAAGGACCTACAACCATTACGAACGCAATCTTCATATCCTGGAAACGAATTACGCTGGTGTAGCACGCCAACTCGACCAGCAAACATGTCACATCACCGCTAGTACAGTTATCCGTAAAAGGTCTTCGTTGACAATTAAGTTTCACTGATCGCTTACTGCTCATCAACCCATCCGCCCTAAAAACGCACTTTGGCTGATCATTACCCCTGAAAAAAACCGCAACGTATCGAAAATGTAAACTCTTTCTAAGGAAGGGCTGCTGTAGTGGAATACTTTTATGAAGAGAACGCGAATGGTTTCATACAAACATTTGTAGTGGAACGCTTCTACGAAGAAAATATGATTTGTGAAAAGTAAACATTATTGTACTCGTTTTGTTTAATTGTACCACAAACACTCCTACTACTAACGCTAGGTACTTAGTGGCCACAAGTGCCCAAGTTTCTGTCATATCGTTTGGTAGCAGTAAGTCATAAGCTACGATGCTTCGAGCACGCGCTGCGAATGACTCTGTCATTTCTACCTACGGCACACGACAGCTAACTATCAACCTGAATATTCGAAGACAGTATCTATCGTCGTTCATCCCTTCCGATGTTTCCATAGCCATACTCGGTATCAATCCCTTACAGCACTATGAATTGCTATTCGATTCACGTAGGCTGTGTTAATCGATACTTCGTCGAATATCAAATCCATGGTTTTTAACGAGAAAATAGATATGTACCGGATCATTAATATATATATTTTTTGCATTACTGTTTATTTCATGTTATATTCGATAAATTCCCCAAAGTAACGAAACCGAGGAGATTTAACTGGTGATTATTTATGTGGTAAGCCACATCGTCACCTGCAGACACCCCAGTCACGGCAAAACCTCGCCGACTGGCACTGGACAGGTTCGTTTTCGCTAAGCGTGAGTTTGACAGTTTACTTGCTACATTTATTACTTCGTCTTTCTCACAGTCCTTAAGACTCCTCTCTCCACTCGGTTCGGAGAAAGATGGCATTTTTTGGAGACGACATGGCGATTACAGAGCAGCAACGGCAGATATTCAATGTTCCGCCTCCGAACTTATATATGGCACGACATTGCATCTGCCTAGGGAAATTTCTTCAAACCACGGAGCAGCGATTTTATGTATATCAGATTACGTCCAATGACTATCTGCGTAGATGCGAATACTGCCTCCGTTGTGAACTCGAATATAACATCGAAAGGTCGCTCTACCTCGAGAGTTATTTACCTGTCCGCAAGTTTTCTTACTAGTAGATTCGTTACTCAACAACCTTACGAAGGATCTTTTCACGTGATCTCTCGTCACGAAAAGACCTTCAAGGTTGATGGACACAGTCAGCATTGATCTTCTCAATGACAGAGCCCTACCTGGTAAAACGAGATTTAATGCTGGACTCGTCCAACTCATTAGCGGGATCCTTATTTTCCTTCTGAACCCACGCTAGCGAAATCAAAGACCACATTTTAACGCCCCAGTCAGCAGCACGCGCCATCTGTACTATCTGCGGATGAGACTCCGGTCTCACGTACAGATCAGCAGATCACGCTGCACTTGACTGCGGATGAGAATGCAGGCTCACGATGTACGCACGAGGCTACGGTCTCGCGTTCCGATCGCCGCTTACGCCTACCTGTACGCTTTCCCGGATAACTACCAATCAACTACGGGTGCGGCATAAGATTTTCCCATCATACTACATGCATGCTACACTTTTTCCCTTTTCTTCAATTTTTTTTATCCCGAGTCTATACCTCCGACCATTTCTCTATTGGTACCATCGACTTCAGTCAAACTTCGCGAAAGCTGGCCTGATCACTTACGCTCTTGTCAATGCGTTTAGTCAATTTTCTGGTAAGGAATATATCTGGTACACGAATGGTTTCGCACTGGTCATTTCTGGCTCCTTCGCTCAATCTGGTTCCGTCCTACGTCTGCAGCTTTATGTGGTCCGAACGCCTACGAACGCAATCTTCAGACTTTGGATACGAGCCACTCTGGTGTGTAATGCCAATCCGATCGAAAAACTTGGCACGTCGACTCGAGCTGCAAACCTGGCACGTTACCACTGGTACAGTTCAACGTAGAAGACTATCGGTGACAACTTCAGATTCACTCGTCGCTTCCTCTTCGTCAACCCTTCCATACTACAATCAAATGTTGGCCGACCAGCCCCTACCTCGAACGTAGCCGCTATGTATCGAAAGTGTGAACCCTTTCTAGGCGGAGGCTGCTGTAATGGAATGCTTCTACGAAGAAAATATGATTTGTGGAAAATAAATATTATTGTACTCGTTTTGTTTAACTGTACCACAAACACTCCTACTACTTCTTGCGCACAACGTCCTCTTCGCGTTGCTGCCATTTTTCTCTATTTACTGGTCCCCATGTAATGCCAACGTTCTCCTTCAATAAAACCTCAACCCATGGATTTGTTCTAATATTCGTGACGCGACCGTATGGGACATTTAGTGTTTAGTATAGTCAATATGGTATCTAGATTCGCTCACCACACATTCATCATTATAAACAATTGTGCCAGTGATCGTTTAACTGCAATTTTTCTTTACTCTCTTTACGCGTAAACTTTCTGCCTGTGTTGCTGCCATTCTTTGGTGCACGCTGCTCTTTAATTTGCCTACTTTCCTAGTTTAACTTTGGTGTATTTTCGACACCACGAAATCAAGAGCAATTATATTATTTACTCTGGATTTATTTATCTTCTCAATGACGGGTCCTTAATTAGTAATAAGTGGTGGTCATAGTCAATCTCGATTCGATCACCAGTAAACTGTGATGTATAAACTATCGCTGCATAGAAAAGAAAAACGATTCATATCCTGGGAGCCAAAATCATCAATTCTTCATTTGAAGTGAGTGAAGCTTGGTGGGGGTTATGTCAGGTCTAATACTTAGGAGAGATATATACAACATTTAAATTACTCATTTAATTTTCCATCCTTGCTGATCATAGTTGGGTATGCACCTAGAAACTCTGCTCCGGGCACTCTAACTAAATGTTGCCCACTGTTATTCATAGATTTTGTTGTCATACTCCAACAACCGTTACCAAGTGTTTCCTTGACGATTGATGTAGAAGTTTTCCATGTTTATGTTTCGTATAAAGGAACTATTTGAAATTTGTATTGAAGACTCTGGCAGATATTTATTTTGTGGTCCAGATGGTCTTCAATGGTATGAATGCCGCTCTTGTTCTGCAAATTCGTGTATTCAAATATACATCAGGTCCCCATATTTTATCAGTAAGATTTGCCCAGATATCCACAGGTTCTTACTTCTTTGACTATTCCATCGATTGTGATATCAGAGGTGCGTACTGTGTGGCATTTAGGAATATTGCTTTTCTCCATTTGGTTATTGAGACCCTTTCCCACAGAGGTAGCTGTTTCATTTGTTTTTGAATGGCATGTATGGGAAAGTAGAGTAAAGTCATCTGAGGAATTCAGAAAACCTATATCTGTCTCATACT